GAAATTAAATTAAATTATAAAATAATTCATTAATATTACAAGCAGTGAGTATCTAGTTATGCTTAATTAATGAAAGGTATACAATTCACTCACCTGTAAACATACTATGACATGACTTATAACTGTAGCCAAAGGGGGGGGGTCAGTCTAGCCACAGTTGAAATCTTTTAAAATATGATTACTCAGGTAGTGATTCAGCTCTAATTCTGGGGGGGGGGGGGGGGGTCAGTCTAGCCACAGTTGAAATCGTTTAAAATATGATTTCTCAGGTAGTGATTGAGCTCTAATTCTGAAATTAAATTTAATTATTAAAAATAATTTATTACATAATTCATTACATAATATTACAAACAGTGAATATCTAGTTATGCTTTAATTAATGAAGGTACACAATTCACTCACCTATAAACATACTATGGCATGACTTATAACTTGTAGCCATAGAGGGGTCAGTCTAGCCACAGATGAAATCTTTGAACATATGATTTCTCAGGTAGTGATTGAGCTTTAGTTCTGAAATTTTATTAAATTATTAAAATTATTTCATTAATATTACAAGCAGTGAGTATCTAGTTATGCTTTAATTAATGAAGGTACACAATTCACTCACCTATAAACATACTATGGCATGACTTATAACTTGTAGCCATATGGGGGGGGGGCACTCTAGCCACAGTTGAAATCTTTTAAAATATGATTTCTCAGGTAGTGATTCAGCTCCAATTCTGAAATTAAATTAAATTATTAAAATTAATTCATTAATATTACAAGCAGTGAGTATCTAGTTATGCTTTAATTAATGAAGTTATACAATTCATTCATCTGAAAACATACTATGGGATGACTTTTTACTTGTTCCTATATATTTTGTAGCCTAGGCGCAGTGAATACATGTACGATATATGTCTCAGGTAGTGATTGAGCTTGAGTTCTGAAATTAAAATAAAATATTAAAATTAATTCATTACATAGTAATACAAGCAGTGAATATCTAGTTATGCTTTAATTAATGAAGGTATACAATCCACTCACCTGAAAACATTCTATGGCATGACTGTTAACATGTTGCTATAGATTGTGTAGCCTAGGCGCAGTGAATAGTTGTGCGATATATGATTTCTTAGGTAGTGTCGAGCTTTAGTTCTGAAATTACAATAAAATATTAAAATTAATTCATTACATCTGTTCTATTTTTATAGAAGAACCTTCCCAAATAAAAGAAATTCTATTATTTAGAAAAAAATTAGAGGTTTGAGTTGAAATGTCACACCAGCTAATAGGATGGTGAGTTGTATGCCTGTTGTTCAAGGCTTTATTGGCAGTACTGAGGTAGAGGTCATGCGTGATAGTGGGTGTAATTCGGTTGTAGTACGTAGGGAGTTGGTAGAGGATAGTCAATTGAGTGGGGAGAGACATACCTGTTTGATTATAGATGGTACATGTCAGAAAGCCCCAGTAGCTAGACTATATATAGATACATCCTACTATGTTGGTAAGGTCGAGGCACTGTGTATGAGGAACCCAGTGTATGATGATATTGTTGGTAATATTAGTGAAGCTAGGAACTCAAGGATCTTGATATTGGTTGGAAGCAAGCTTTAGCTCGTGAGGTAGGGCATGGTGTGGTTAGTTTGTACAAAGTTAGTGAGTACACGAGAGGAGTTGATCACAGGTCGTAACAATCGGGCAAGGTTTGTGATGAACAAGGGGCTGATGTATAGAGAGTTTCAGTCACCCCATGTTCATAGAGGACTTGTGTGTTCCCAATTAGTTGTACCATTGTGTTACCATGATCAAATACTATCATTTGCTTATGAGTCAGTTATGGCAGGTCACCTGGGTGCTAAGAAGACTACAGGTAGAATGGCAACTCAGTTTTATTGGCCTGGTATGCAGGATTACAGGTCATGTGATATATGTCAGAAGACCACTCCTAGGGGTCGTGTTAGCAAAGTACCATTAGGTGATATGCCCTTGATTGAAGGTCCATTCCAAATGATAGCTATGGATCTGATTGGTCCGATCAGTCCAGTGACTGAGAGTGGTCATATGTACATTTCAACTGTTGTAGACTATGCTTCACAATACAGTGAGGCTGTGGCATTAATGGAAATTTCTTCTGAAGTGGTTACTGATGCATTAGTCAGTATATATAGTAGAGTTGGTGTACCCAAAGAAGTTTTAACTGATGTAGGGACACAATTTGTATCTGACATTATGAAGGAAGTGAGTTGAGTGTTGTCTATTAAACAATTAGTAACTACTCCATATCACATGGCATGTAATGGTTTGGTTGAGCGGTTTAATGCTACTTTGAAAAGTATGTTGAAACATATGTGTCAAGAACGGCCCAAGGATTGGGATAGGTATCCCAGTACTGTTTGCCTATAGAGAAGCTCCTCAGGAGAGTTTAGGGTTTTCACCCTTTGATCTTATTTATGGTAGAACAGTGAGGGGCCCAAAGGTGATATTAAGAGAGTTGTTGACAAAGGAGGCCACTACACCAGAGGTTAAAACTTCATACCAGTATGTCCTGAATTTGCGAAATCGGCTTGAAGAGACATGTAAATTTATTAGAAGTTGATGCTGATTATTTGACTGAAAATGTGCCATGTTCAGTCCTAATAAGGGGGCAATGTCAGTATCCTTTATTTTATGTTTTTTTTTCCATATTACCTCAAACCCTGCAAATAGAAGTGTGCATGGAATCATGGTGAGTAATTGTGTGCATTGCCTTGTGATAACTGTTATAAAGGTAATTGACTGATCATACTTGTTTTCAACTTCGGAAGGACGGTTGAATCTGCCAGGTGTGCTTGTAATTTACATAACAAAGGTTGTTTACAACTTTGAAAGGAGAATTGGTATCATGTGTGCTGCTATTTGAATAACAGAGGATGTTAATGATCTACCGAGTTGCCTGCATGACACAGCTGCTAGCCTAAATGCAGTTGAATTTCCGTAATATATGATTTCTCGGGCAGTGAAACACATATAGTGTTGAAAATAAATTAAAATATTAAAATTAATGTATTACTAATACATAATATATTACAAGCCGTGAACATCAAGTGATGCTTTAATTAATGAAGGATACAATTCACTTACCTGAAAACATATTGGGACAGGACGTATAAGTTGTACCCACAGCGCTTGTAGTCTAGCTGCAGTTGAATGTCTGTGATAAATGATTTCTCAGGCGGTGAATTAAGTCTAGTGTTAAAATAAAATATTAAAATAACTTCATTATATCTGTTCTATTTTTATAGAAAAACCTTCCCAAATAAAGGAAATTCTAATATTTAAAAACATGAGAGGTAGTCACTAAACTATGTACTTCCACACTCAAGCAATAGAATAGACACGTTGGTGAACTAGTCTTGCACTGTGAGTGTTTTATTGTTTGCAGTCTGTAAAAAAAATTTCACAAATAAAAAAAAACACAAAAAAACAAAGAACTTCAGACCTCACATCTTTATATTTTTGAGTGGGCCAGCCAAGATTACACATACAAAAATACACACAATATTTCTATTTCATTTATTTTATATTTTCACTGAATTCTTTAAAATAAATTCATCATATACAAATTAATTTTTTGGACACCATTTCATATAAATATTTTACAATCCATATCCTTATATTTGAATTATTTTTAGAAGCATAACAATACAACGACTAGATTTGGTTTCACAGTTTGCTCCCAATTTATATTGGAATATTGCCAACAATAATTAATAAAGCTTGTTCAAAATACTATTTATTCCCGACATCATATTCAGTTGCTAGTTCTCGGGATCTACAACAGTAATAAATAAACAGAAATCATTTTGATGCCACATTGGCGGAACATGTACATCGAGTTCACCACTCAACAGTACATCATGCACTCTATACGAAATAGCAAAGGCCTTCGTATATTTTGCTGCTTGAAATGACTTTTGATTTACAGAGGCTAACGTTGTGTTATTGCTGAATAATTTTATTATGTGTGCAGTGATATAAACTAATGATGACATGCTTACCGCATGAGATAATTTCCAACTCATATATCATCACAGTTAGAAAGAACCATATAGTTGCATCCTGCATAATTACATGTGGCAGTTGTTTATGCAGTGACCCCGAGTACGCGCTTTATCACAAAAGACCAACAGTAAATAAGGAACTAAATAGTAGCGTATCTAAGTGACACATATACCGTCTGACATACTTATTCTACGAAATCATATATCCTTTACTGGAATCAGCAATATATTTACAAAAAGAACCCAGCATTAGTCAAGCTGCCATTTTGGTAGGAGATGTACATTATGTTATATGCATGTAAGTAAAAAAATATAAAGCACTATTTTGACACACTGAATTTTCATTGTGTGTTATTAATATTATACTCTATTTCAGACATTGTTTGGGTCACGGTGGTTAACATATCATCATGTAAAGAGTGCACAAATAATGCAGGTAATGTAAATAATGCAGGTACCTATAAACTTATTTTCTTACACTGCGCGAAAAGGCTATAATTCACATAAATACAGCCATGCATGCCCACATGAAACGTTAATACAGACAAATACAAAACAATACACATGAATACAGGAAGTACAAATACATTTCCTGTATTTATGCTTGTATTTAGCTGTATATGCACTATTGTGTATTTTCCACAAATACAGGTAAATGTAGATAATTAGAGTGCATGAATTCACTGTGTATAAACGTCTGTATTTCTCATGTATTTATGTATTAGCATAATACATGTAAATACATTTTCATTTGATAAATCCTATACAGATTGCTGTCGTAGAGGGCCTCTCCCTTAATTTTCAGGTATCCAACCTTAAACATTGGGTTTTGATTATGTTAAAACCGTTCTTCACTGTCTGATTAATTTAAATCTCATGAAGGTTAAACAAATGTGAAATATGATTTCTATACCATAAATTTATGTCTATGCCTTTTTAAAATAAAAAACCCATATATTCATGTATTGTACCTAACAAATACTGTAAAAGTGCAGCCCGATTGTAACTTATGTCAGCGATATTCATTTGTCACCATGACTGAAACACGACACACATGCGCGCGATATGGTTGAAAGTTGTAAATTACCCAGCATCCTCTGTTATAGGAAATATGATGAATACTACAGTAATTGTCAGACATTTATTAACAATTGATATCTGTACTGTTTCAATATAAATATTTGTGACATATTTTCACCAGACATCAACATAAATTGCAATAAAAACAGAAATACAAGAATCATTATTTAAATAGTCCTCCATTTTGAATTTAAATGAAACCGTACACAGAACGTTGATTCCTGGCATATAATAACAGTTGCAGCGAAAATGCCTGGATAATGAAACTAAAATTTCTGGTAAATGGCCAAACCTTAAATCTCTGTTTAGGAAATGTCCTTTATACATTTCCTATTTTTGTGTCATTGCAGTTGTGCCTTTAGCATGACATTCTATACTATGCTATCTGTAAAATTTATATCAATTTTCTGCTGTTGTATCCATAAAATTTATGCCTTTGCTGAACATATTGTACTATTATTTAAGTTTGAGCCACACAACCTGCTGTGTGATCTACTTGCTTCATGTCACTGAAATGTGCATCTTTGCGGGAATAAATTGACATCTGTGACTATCAAAACTATTCTATTTTTCTGTAAATTCATTCCGAACAACAAACAATGCAATTTAAATATTTCTCAATAGTTTGAATAGATTCAATAGTTTATTTTCTGTGATTTAATTCTTCATTAAATATTAAATTAAAATCACAATGAAATAAAAGTGTTCATGTAGTTAAAATGGAATAAAAACCCATAAAGGCCTTATTTTAATAAGATTTGGTTGCATTATACACACATGCACACCAGAAAACACTAAGGGAGAATATAATAAATTGCCATTCAATACAGAACCAATGTTTTTATTTATTTATTTATTAACAAACAAAATGAAATCTTCAGCAAATTGCACACAATAATATCTTTTCATTAATTTTTTTCTGTTCAGGTGTGGAACAGACAGATTTAAAAAATAAAACAATATAAATTATATATACAGTTATTGATAAAAATATAAAGTTGGATATATATGTCCATCCTTAATATTAATACTTGTTGGTAACATTTGTCAACTCATTTTTGAGATCAATATCTAAACAAACATTTACATCTCACTGGTACACCGGAGCAGAAGGAACAATCACAATAACAGTTTCACCGACTGATCTACAGTATGGAAACTTGATTTTGTCTGTTACAGAGATGCAATAACCCATAATTCGTTGTATTGGAATAAAAGAAGCATCTTCTGCAACCATAGGATGCTTCTTATACCATGATACATGTGCAAAGACATGTGATTTCCTTTGTCGCTTGTTGTCTAAACCACAAAGCATAACCTCACTTCTAACAATTCTAGTTATTACTCCAGATCGAACCTCTGCACTTTACAGTATTTGATATTCATGAGATAATTAATATTCATTTTTCCATTTTACTAGCTACAATTTAACTACTTTAATTATTTTAACTTTAAACATTTTAAATATGTCAATGTAAAACTTATCTGCTTTGATAAAAGTGAAAAAATATATACACTTTATTTTCTTAATCACGTCTAAAATACGTATTTTGAGACATTGACCTCTGACCTGGCAGCCATTTTTTTTTCAAAGTATGTCGTCTGTTTGTTATGGCCAAAGTGGAAAGAAGAATTTAATATTTCTTTTTCAATGGAATGA